ATATTATATTATTTATTATATATTTTATAACTGTTTATAAAAGTTTTAGTTCTATTTTATAGCTATTTTAAAAATATTTTTTAAATATATATTAACTATTATATTATATTTCTGTATTTATAGATTTCTATATAAAATCTATACAAAACTTAATATTATAACTAATAATTAAAAAATAATATAATAACTATTATATAACTGTAGAACTGATTTTTGTTTTATTTGAATTACTAGTAACTATCAAAGACTGTCTGAAACTACCGATAAATTAGTCAATGACCTAACGTTGCCAACCCCCCTGTCCACTATGTAGTCTTCCTGACTGTGTCCTGCCCGATCACCTGAACTCCTGGATCTACTTTTGTTCAACACCCTGCTAGGAATCTGATACAATTCAGCGTGTATCTTCCCTCGCAGTGCAACTATACGGCACGAGTTCTGCAACATCTCTTACAAGCCAATATGGGAGAGCAAAGCTCACCAATCTGTATGCTGAAGTACGCCCTTTCTTCAAAGCGGATCGCGGACTTACACTAGCCCATTAGGATTGAAGGTAACGAGCATATACATAATTCGACATAGCATCGCGTAGTCTAATAATCCAGGTCCCTTTCGAGCACGAGACTTTTGTGGAGGGCGGGAAGCACCCCTGGAGCAGGCTGAGCTCGCGCTCACTGGTCTCCGTCGTCGCGGGCTTCTGCTTGGTATTCTTTAGGTTCCAGCAAGGACTGAATCAAACAGGCAAATTTTTTGCTCTTTTCCTCCCATTTTTTTGCAGACCACTGAACTTCCACAACAGGGCCGTTTGTAACCCTGAGTCTGAACGTGTCATAACCAGGGACCAACACTTCAACATTTATTTGAGATGTGGGCTTAAAAAATGCAGGATCAGGGGCAAAGAGCCTGATATCAGCAAGCCGGGGGGTGCAAATCTCAGTAGGAAGCTTCTTAACATTAGTGAACCCCACAAATTTGGAATGAACCTTGAGCAGCGTTGGGCCAGCGTTGCTGACGGTCCTTTTCTGTATGGTGGTAGACACAGGGCTGCCGTATATCTCTATCCCCGGTAGGCCACCGATGCTCAGTTGGTATTCTATGGTATTGATCGATCGGATTTCAGTGTAGAGGTAGCCTTGCACGATCTTGAAGGAGTTGAAGTAGGCCAAGGCATTGTTTAGCTTGTTAGCAACCGCTTTCCGCTCTGGAACATCTAGGTCCTGGCATTCTTTGATAATATCACCTAGGCTTATCACTTTCACGCTGATCGGGCGGGCTGTAGCATTAGAAATGGACTGTTCCCAAGCGTCGAGCTTGTCAGGCTTGTCTGGATCGCTGCCCAGGTCGGCGGCTTTCCCAGGGTCGCCACTAATGATATTAACATCGTGTTCGCGGACTCGCAAGTATTCTTTATGCTCCGCTCATGTCGCCAACCCTGTGGAGCCCTTGACACTGCATATGCCGTTGTACTCGGCCGATATGTGAGCTTCGAAGTCCTTCTTCGATGACATGCTGCTCATCTGAGTCTCTAACTTCAGCTGATACCGAGCCCCAAATGCGATTGAGCGGACAACGTAGGTGCCCCAGTCCTCAAAGAATTCCTTATATGTCTGATACACCTCTGGACTTGGCGGCTTTTTGGCATCTGGCCACGGCGGAAGCTCTTTCGCCTCGTCCTTAAAGCTGTCATCAATATCGACTTTTCCTCGATCGCGCCGGAGCTTAAGAAGGAAAGACTTGTGTTCGGTGCTGAGCACGCCATAGTATTTGGACGTGCTCAAAGCAGTCTGGTAGCTGTATTTGACGGACCCTGACGCGGCATTAGGGTCAACATTAGGGTCAACATTAGGGTCAACATTAGGGTCAACATTAGGGTCAACATTAGGGTCAACATTAGGGTCAACATTAGGGTCA